AGTTCTCTAGGGGTGAATGAAACAACACAGTTCTTCTAGTGCATTCATGACAGACTTATTTTATTTGTCACTCACTCTGACATAACAATTTAACAACTGGTACCAATCAACACTGGTACTTGATTAAAACTAACAACGGTACTATAAATTAGGTAAACGGTAAACTAGGTGAACATAGGTATTGGAATGCTGCCAGGTAATCTGGAATTAGCAATCCTACAATATTATTCTTAGATATACTAAAATGAGATGAAGAAAGTTTTTTCTCTTACTTCCAGCGCTCTGCACTGAATTGATTTAATGAATTGCACGAAATACAAAACCCTCTTTCTTTCTTCTACATTTCCTAACGTGCATACAGCTTCACACTTCATATTTAATATTAACTAAGTACTTCGCGACAACTATTTTGCAAATTTTAATAAAAAAGCTTTGATATTGGAGTTAGCTGAGTAACAATGTTTAAGTCATCCACCTGCCATTCCGCATCTTCAATTTGGCTCTTTTTCTCATTATCGTCAGCTGTTTCAAGAAATTTCAGAACGTCTGATGGCACCGCAAGATGCATTTATAATTTGTGCAAAGCATATAAAATGCTAGTCGATGGAATTGGATGGATGGATATTTATCACTTTCAGTTCAATTGAAAATAAATGAAAATCTCTTTCCTAAAACAATTATTCATTATTAAATAAGTTGGCGAATATCTCGCTAGATGAGACTAGACAATGCACTCTGCGTCGCTCGTCTCGTCTCGAATTAATATCGAAACGAGACGAGATTACCCGCCAATTTCGTCTCGCACCACACTACGTAATTCTTCCAGACGCTCTCTACTTGTCTCTTCAATTTGTCCTGTCGGTTCTTTTTCTACTTGTACTGATACAGCTCTGATCTTTGGTTTGAATGTCTTATAGGCCGCTCCGATTTCTAGGGCTTCGATTAGAGCTTTGCTGACTACTTGATGGTTTGCCTATGAGGATCAGCATTCTATCTGTACATCCATATCTCTAATTCCATTATTAAAATTTTTGGTTATTAGCTGATTTCGCATTTCTGCTGTTGCTCCAACCTTTAACCATTGCAATAGTCTCGAAAATCTTATACCTGTAGGTCACCCTCGATGCCTGACGGTTACGGTTTAACTGTCTGGTCGGAGCTGAGATATTTCTTGATCTCAAGCCACGTTTTACCTTCTAAGTTTTCTCCCGAACATCAGGTATTTCTTTGATGTTCCAAAGTTTCAAGTTTCAACTTCCTGAGGTCCGTATTTCTTTCATTTCATTGCATTCTTGAATTTTTTCATCTTGCCTAAGACTTGTTCCAGTCTGGTTTGTACCCCGGACATAACGGTTTGAATACACTTTCACTGAAATTTAAAATTTTCCTGATAGTATAGGAGTTGGCAGGTTTTTCGGTAAACTTATTAATAAATCATGATTGTAAGTGACCTGGACATACCAAAACTGACCGTTTGCCATTTCACGGTGGCAGCTTTAATCGGGGGTTAAATTTTAAAAAGGGTTGAATTTTTATTTTGGTAAACGATATTTATCATAGGCGAAATTTTCAGGAACGTATTAACAGTTTGAGTACTTATCAAAATCACACAGGCAGACGATTTATTTGACAGCATAACTTCCGCAGACGCCTGTCAAATTTGTAATTTTTAGGTTGCAGTGAACGTCATTTATCAATTATTTTTTTTTGCAAGTCGATTTCTTCACATAACGTACAGAAAGAATATCGGCAGACGAAAAAGACGGCAGCGTTTTTTTGGCAGACGCTGGCATAATAATCATCTGACGCCTGAGCCTGAGGCGGCAGGGTAACCGTTCCATAATCGTGTCCGGTTAAGATGCACCTGAACTTAAGTCTCTTCGATTTCGTCTAGGTCGCGGTGGTTGTGGCCGCGGAGGTCTTCTCCTCCAGACCTGCGTGTTCTTGCTGAAAAGGTAGTGTACCATTACGCTCCCCATTGTAGCACAGACGCTGATTATCGCTGCTTCCGTCGGCTGGATAATTTTACTTTCAATTAGGTCGGCATAAGATTTCTCAGACCAAATCCTCTTCCAGGTCACTGTCAATCTCGTTGTTCCTGAATCTAATTCGAGGACAATGGGATCTCAGACATTGCTGGAGGACGTGGTTCAATGCTACCGGTACTTGGCATCCAGCTCTGCACGAGTGGTCTATTTCTGGCCATTAATTAATTCTTGTTTGTATGCTGTTCAGGAAGTCCTTCCCAGATAAGAGTCGGGTCGGTTCTCTGATTATTCTGTGTGCCTGTGGTACCTTGGCGGCTTCTCTCAGGCGATAGCCGTCCACCATGCCACACAATTTAGTTTTTCAAATTCTGTTGAAGTCTGCTGTGAACCTCAGGTTCAATTGATTGCATTTAAGCCGCTTTTCCACAATGTCCAATTCAACTGCCAAAAAGTAGTTGGTTGTATAGTTGCAATCAACCAACGGCAACTCAACAACAACGCAAGTCCACCGTTTTCTGTGCTGGCATGTATAAATGCAGTCTGGGAGTCGTGTGGTAGGTGGACCCATTTCCTGACGCATGATCTAATGAGCCCATCCGATTTCAGAATTCAGTCCACCAGCATAACGTTGCCTAGTGCCAGTTTGTGGAAGAGTTTTGGAATAACATAAACTATTAAGGCATGAAGTATCTGTTGTGGCTTGAGTATGGCTGTCAATAGCCTATCAAGAAGTAGGCTTATGTCTGCCCTTGATTAGTACTTAACACATCCGGTTGGGCTGAAGTCAATGCTGAGATACTTCCAGCTGTCCGCCCTGGTGAGGTAGGGCATGTACCTAATGCCCACTTTAAGCTGTCTCTCTTCCACTATAGTGTATTTCTGCTTCAGCTGCCCTTTGATCTTAACGGAGATGTATTTATCTGGGTTAAGAAGCAACCCGCATAACTCCAGATACTTTGTTGTGATATCAAGCAAGTCTTGGAGTCCAGCCGAAGTAGATGCCATTAGAATTAATAAGATCGTCTGCGAAGGCGAGGGCATAATCATGTTAAACAGCAAGGGGGACAGCGGGTCCCCTTACTTGACCCCTCTTATAGGCTTTATAGGTTCTGATGTCCAGCTCTCGCCGCTGATATGGGTGGAAGAGTCGCAGTAGTACTGCCCTAGATACTATATTGCAGGTAGCGGCAAGCCTTACCCACGTCCAAAGAGGCCATGTAGCATAAAGAGTACATTCTGTGTTGGTCCCTGAGCATTAGGTCCAGCAGGATTGTGTTGTCCGCGCATCCATCAGTAGGAATAAAAGCTCTTTGTCTTGGGTCTAACTTGATTGCTTTGTTAAACCGACTCGCTAATATGGAATCATATGACCGATGGTACGATGAGTGGTCTAAAGTCCGAAGAATTCTCACTTTAATTGGGATAGCTAGGGGCCTAGGGGCGATTCCATCTGGCCCAGTAACCTTTTGTGTTGCAATCTTGGCTTTATCAAATTTCTCTGGGGTGATCGGCGCCCATACGTTCTCCTCATCCTACTGTGCGCCAGAAGGGTTCCATTATCTCCTTCCCAGGCATCCTCGCCTCCCTTGGACCGTCTAAAATCGGTTTAATATCTCCATATTGATGCTTTTGCCAGTTAATTTGGGTGGTAGCATATTCATTCTGCCTCCTCCTCTTTGAGAGGTTTGTGTATTCTGGTTGTATAGCCCTATTGTTCGGTCTATAGGATCTAACTGGGAACATCTTGCTTAGTAGTGGAGCAAGGTCCACCAGCGTTTGTTCTCTACCTCTGTCTAGAGCCTGTTCCATTATGTCTGTTATTTCGTCGCTGTTTGCTGGTCTTGTCACACCCAGCAAGTATGTGATGAACGTTAATGAAGGAATCGATCCACTTAACGTATGGAAAATTATAATTAACGTAGGAAACTGAGAAGGTGCGTGTTTATATCCTATTTACAATCCGATGTTCACAGGTACAGGTAAATTTATCACCTTTCCCTATCAAATAGCATTGAAAGCTGATAAATTTTACCTGTACCTGTGGACATCGGATGGTGAATGGATAATACAATGAAGTTAATTTTCCGGCGTGTAACCACCAATGACATTGATAATAACAGACTAGGCGCCGGTACTTTTGCTCTCATTTGACAGCCGTTAAAAATAATCAGGGGTTTGAATGTGCTCTAACCACATCATACTTATAGACCTTGGCCCATGTAAAAATTTGACGACGTATCAAATTTGTTAATCGAGAGCAAAAGTATCAGCCCTAGTTCAATCTGTCTGTCATTCATAATTAGGTATTATTGAAATTAACGTACGAATTTCCTTAAGTTGAAGTTGGTTCAATTTTTCCGTGTGTTACGTTAATTTTCCTAATTTTTAAGTGGATGTAAGCAACTACATATAAGTACCTACATGATCTTCAACTTTTCTTTATTATTAATTTTCCGTACGTTAAGTTAAGTGGATGTAAATGAAACTTAACTTTGATAAGTCCTCAAACTGTTAATTCGTTTCCGAAAATTTCGGTCATGACGTTTACCAAAATGAAAATTCATCCCGTTTTTGAATTTAACTCTCGATTAAAGCTACCACCCTAGAACGGCAGACGGTCAGTTTTGGTATGTCCAGGTAACTTACAATCATGATTTATTAATCAAAATTTTGATAAATATCGTTTGGCGAAAAACGTGCCAGCTCCTATACTATGAAGCCGGTCGTGTCTTTCTTGTTTTCCTGTCAATCAAGGATCTTCCTATTCTTGTCTGGTCTTAGCGCTTCTCCTCTTGTTTTTCTTTTTGTCTTCGGGTTTAATCTTTTTGTTTTCTGTCTCCAGCTAAGCAACATTGGACATTACTTTCATAATAATGTACTTACCTACGTTTAATTGCATTCAATTTTATTATTAATTTCCTACAAATCGTGCCTTACTATGTATCGTTAATATAATACACAATCTAGGTACATAAATCATTACTTACTAATTTTAAATTTTATTTGTTTCAGTGCTGTAAGAAGCTATGACAATTGGGCTGTGATAAGTGCATCTGAAGCAAGAAGGAAACATGTGTATTATGAAGTGTGTGTGCCAAGTATGAAGTAAGGGGTGAAGCGTACAGTGTTGCATAAAAAGTCTTATGGGTTGGAAGAGAAGGTTATACTCCGGGATACTACTGCTTGATCTAAGGTAAGAATTTTTACTTAACTTAAAAGCTGATTATTTCTTCTAAAGTCAAATAAACCATGTAGAATTTATGAAGTACCTATTATTCTCTTGTTCCAATTTAACAGTTAGTTAAAATTTCATTGAAAGCTCTAGCCACAGAACTGAAAATAAATTTAGATACTTATCCATCTTTATAATACGTATATTATTATAGGATGGCCTCTGATCCTTTTGGAATTTTGAAACGTGTCAAAAACCAATGAGAAATTCAAACATCTATGATAACTGCTTACTTCTTCTTTCAAGAAAATAAACAATAAACGACTGATTTTATGTTTTCTATGAGCTTAGAAAAGCCAAGCATTTTTCCAATTTTTCCCAATTAAAAAAAAAAGTACAATTTTTTCCTCATTGCATTAAAAATACCATATTTCGCCTTGAAAAACCTTTTCCATCTAATCCCAGTTTTGATATATGTTTTTCTTCAATAGTTGTACCTATTGCATAGATAAATTATGTAGAAATCTCTTCAGAAACGATAAGTTTACTTTTTCTTATAAAAGTTAACAGTTTTTGTTGGATTTACCTAAGTACCCTAATCAGCACATGACTGGATTTGGGTTTGCGATAATTTACATTTCAATTAACAATAATACCTAACTACAAATTGGAAAAATCAGAGAGTTACATTCCTGTACAGAAGAATAAATATACTTATAGTTTTTCCAAAGTCAATAAATCATAACTGGTGGCTGAGAAGTGGCAGTGCATTTCTTATGGAAATTTTCAGTGACCAGTCAGCCACCAGTTGGTACCTTGGTCCAATTTAGTTTGGGAATACTATACCTATAAACACTATACCAGGTAGAATACCTACATTAATTTTACATAATTTTCAACACTTGATAGAAAGTGCTTCAAAACTGCAATTTTGGCTTGGTAATATTTGTTTTTTTTTTCCAGGTGGTTGATGAGAACATGCTGTACCTACCTGAAGCCTTCTTACATGAACAGATTTTCGGATAACTAATAAAATGTTTGGTTCATTTCTAATAATTTTTATCACTGTGAACTCCTTTTTTCCAAATCACAAGTTTAAGTTAAAATTTCTCAAAAATCTGTACACTTTACCTCTTGAAAGTTTGTGATACTATTTGTCCAATAATATTAGTGAATAAATATTTTGTAATAATAAAAAAGCAGGTAGTTTCATTTATATTTGTATGTTGGTACTGTGGATAGTGGCGGACCTAGAACCGTTGGGGCCCGATGCAAAAAAATATTTGGTGCCCTGTCATATGCTTCTTTTAGGTATAATTTTTGTGGTTTTGGAGGCACTAGCTGACGTCACACACATAACTTCAGTTTCCATGTGGGAACAAACAAAGCGTTTGAAAAAGTACCTATGCAAACAAATGTTGATATCGTTTTCAATCTCTCCCCTATGAAAATGGATTTTTTTATCTTGAATTGGCAAGCAAAAGTAAAACATGCCATACATTACCTACTTTCGCGGGAATTGTCAGCGATATCGTGGAGCCAATAGTTTTATGATGACATCGAGGTTATTTTCTTCTTAAAACTGTTTGTTTTTCTATTAGTACTTTTTGACGATTCGTTCACGATTGACGATTAATTTTTCTTTGACCCTAGTATTCTATGATCTATTTTTTTTTTTGCTAGGTACCTGGCTAGGTAGTTTTCTGTTATCCTCTATTTCTCTCTCAATCTCTCCATCCCACCAATATGACTGTCTTCTTTCAGGATTATCTCCTATTCTTTTGCCTGTTCTACTCCTCGGATGTATCGCGATGCTCCAAGTTTTCCGTTCAGTTTTTTTTTTTGTGAAAGTTTTTTTATGCTGTAATGCTCTATGCTTTTTAGATTTCATTTTGTACCATATCTTCGGCCATGCTGCCTTGTTTGGCTTTGTCTCTGATAAGGAAAGAGGATTCTGCTGGCCTTCAGAAAATAGTGTTTTTTTTTCTACATGTTGGTTCACGTTTGGCTCTGACATTCTGTTCCACCGATTTTTTTCAAATTCTGGGAAGATTATTTGATCCAGACGTACCGGCGGCGTATAGCCACTTCCTACCATTGTGCAACGCACTCCCCTGAAGTGTCGCGTTGTATCTTGGTAGGCACCGGCATAGTTGAACGCTCATCAGCGCAGAACAAAACCTACCACGATGCAACGTTTTTCGCTGGAGCGTGGTATATAATGTCTAGTAGTTATGACGTGAATTTGAGGGACAAATCCTACCACGATACAGCGCAGCACTGGAATAAAATATAGATATTGTGATAGTATTTATTTATTAGTCGAATGATACGAGGGCGATTAAATTAGAAAAAAGTTTCCATTTTTGAAGGTTATTGAAATAGTTATTCCGGCCGATATGTAGAACTGATGTCATTCACTGGCTTTTTCCAAGACATTGTCTCCTATTTGATGGTGTACAGGTCTTCGTGGAGGTCTGCAAACTGTAGTAGTGAATTGCAGAATAGGCTTGTGTCATCTGCAAACGATTCATATTTGGTATTCAGTTTTTGGTATAGGTCAACAAAATACGCCAAGAAAAGCAAGAGACTGAGCGTTTTGGTACGCCGGTGTGTACAGAGTATTCAACTGAGACCTGGAAGCTACGTCCAGTAAGACATTCTCGCAGTAAATTGCCCCTGACTTCAAAATAAGATTGCTTGTATATCCTGTTCACAATCCGATGTCCACAGGTGCAGATAAATTTATCACCTTTCCCTATCAAATAGCATTGAAAGGTGATTTTACCTGTACCTACCTGTGGACATCGGATTGTGAACGGATAATGATAAATATATATTATTGGTATGTTATCAAATGCGTTTCCAAAGTCAAGGAAAACTACATCAATTGGATCATTCTCATTATCCGCCTCTGTCCACATATTGAGTCTATTTAGGAGGTTTGTAAAAGTTTTTTTGGGGAGAAAACCATGTTGTTGGGGTGGTACAATATAGGCTTCGAGGAAAAGCTTGTGTAAATGTGTGTTCCTTAGCTATGACTGAAAATCTCCTGTGAATATTGTCATTCATAAGTGCTACTCCCTTTAGAGTGTTCAGACCAATTTTAAGAAGTATAGGATAAGGATCTCATCAAGTCCAGGGCTGGAGTTCAGCCTTAGGGACTTAATGGCGATCTCTACCTTATCTACGGTGAACTGTATGGTGTTGATTTCTGTTCTGAAGTAGGATTCAACTGGAAGTGTTGGTCTAATATCTGTAGGGGTGAGTTTAGTAGAAACACTCTGGAACTGCTGTGCAAAACACTCTGCAACCTCCTCGCAGATTCAAATGGGACTAGAGTTGCTTTTTCAACAATACTGAAGTAAGTGTGTTTAGAGTTAAAGTTAGAGTTAACATAGGAAAATAACTCATTGGTGAAGTTCAACAGATTTTGCTCATAGTGTTTTTTGCTGTGACTGTACAACTTTTGACCGGGTTGATGCTGGTACTGTATTGTTGTGCCTGTATTTCCTAAATAGGGCAGTATTTTGTGGTGTGTATGGCATATGTTTGTTGATTGTAAATCCCAAAGCCTTAGAGAATTCTTAAAATGAATATGGGTTATCCTGTGGAAGTTGTTGCTGAAGGATTTGATTTACTTCAGTGTGATCTGCTTCCAAAACTTCCTTTTTTAGATTTCATGCGTAGGCTGTGCAATTATTCGAAACTGTTTTTTGGCAGTTAGGAATTACAATGTGGTCATTTTTTCCAAGGGATGTATGTTCATCAAAACTTAATTTCTTTTCATTCATAATAAGTAGATCTAGAAGAGATGTTTGGTCGTTTCGGAACCATAAAAAAATTTATATGTTGGTGGCCTCTATGGGTTTTGTAGCTGTCCAGACAGTCTTGACTACATTGGTTATGCAGATGTACTTCCAATATTTTCCACTATATTTCAGGGCAGTTGAAGTCACCAGTTGTTTTAGAGGCATTGCATTTTCAATAACTTGTACTAGTTCTGTGATGTGTTCTATGCCTGTTTTTTGTTTAGGTCTATAAATACATGCTATAAGAAATTTTATCCCATTTAAGGCATAGGGATTCAATGGATCCTGTGATGGCGAACTTTTCGTTGGTTGTTGCATGAACTTTGCGCCCTGCAGTATAGTTATTTTTACAAAAACACACATCCCTTTGTCTCTGCGAAACATTATTTAAACTGGTATATGGATTAGGCTATCTGGAATGCGATCATTAAACCATGTTTCGGTGATTAAAATTACGTATGCGTTGGTGTTTTGTATGCTTATTTTAAGTTCATCAATCTTGTTTGTCATAGAAAACAGATTGCTATAAGTACCACAGAGAGGCTTCAATTAAGGGATGTTTTTAGTTTTTTGTATGTTATCCAACAACAACAATTTTGGGTATGGAGTTAATGCATCTAATCTTTATATCATTTCCACCTTGATCATTTCTTCTTTCAAGTTCAGCTAAGATATCTACTAAAAAAATTCTTTGCATCTGAGTTTGGTCAGTCTTTGTGTAGATTCTAGCAGTGTTGTCTAGTTGGTAGGTATTTTTTATTTTTGTCTCAATGCTTTTTTGCATGATCTTTGGGTGTGAAGGTTATTTTAATAGGTCCCGCCTTTCCTGTGTTGTATTTTCCTAGTCCATGTAGGCCCATGTCACTGTCGGATACCCTTACATCTACCTGCTGCAGAATATCTTTCACTGTTTAAGTTCAGTTTTAATTCCCTTATATTGTTTTGTGTATCAAGTTCCTTTACTCCAAACCCAAGGGCTGGTTCCAAACTTTGTTTTTTGGAAGCTGTCTGAGGCTTCTTCAATCTAACTCTCTACACCGTATCTCCAAGCTGGACCATGTTTCCTCTTATGGCTTCGGCATTCGTTTTAATTTACAGGACATCTGCATAGCTTTTATTTGTTGCAGTCATAGCATCTTTAACTTCTTCAAGTTCACTCTGGATATATGTCACATTATTTTCTAGGTTAAGGACTTCTTGGATTTTTGGAAATTTCAATACATTATTGCGAACAACCTCTGTGTATTCACTGCAGTAATAAGATATTACCTACCCTTGCTTGAGCAGTAAATGCTCTTATTTCAATGGGGGATATGATCCTGAGCAATTTCTACAGAAAACTCTCTTGCATTGGTCACATGGGCCACCATACACATTATTAATTTGTTAGAAAGTTTTTTTCACCTAATCGCCAACGTGAATTCAGGGACACAAGGGTCCCTGTTTGGGAATCGACCCACTGAGTAGTGGACTCGGCCTTTCCGTGTCAACCCTTGACGCGTTTTGTCCTTATAGGACTCATCAGAAGGACATAGGCTGAGGCTCCCTGTCCAAGCATTCAGTTCATTGCCAACGAAAGCTCAGACCAATCAGTGTAGTTCAACCCCGGTAGGGGTATTTGCCCTCGGAGTAGTTGTTTCTGACTGGTCAACGAAGTTCAATTTTGCTTGAACAGGGAGCTTCAGCCTATGTCCTTCTGATGAGTCCTAACAAGGACGAAACGCGTCAAGGATTGGCACGGGAATGCGGGGTCCACTACTCAGTGGGTCGATTCCCAAACAGGGACTCTCGTCCCTGATTTGCACGTTGGTCATTACCTGAAAAAACTTTCAAACAATTTTCATTGCCAACGAAAGCTCAGACCAATCAGTGTAGTTCAATGCCGGTAGGGGTATTTGCCCTCGGAGTAGTTGTTTCTGATTGGTCAACGAAGTTCAATTTTGCTTGGACAGGGAGCTTCAGACTATGTCCTTCTGATGAGTCCTAACAAGGACGAAACAGGTCAAGGATTGGCACGGAAAGCCTGAGTCCACTGCTCTGTGGGTCGATACCCAAACAGGGACCGTTGTGTCCCTGAATTCACGTTGGTCATTACCTAAAAAAAACTTTCTAACAATTTTCATTGCCAACGAAAGCTCAGATCAATCAGTGTAGTTCAACGCTGGTAGGGGTATTTGCCCTCGGAATAGTCGTTTCTGACTGGTCAACGAAGTTCAGAATATTAATTTCCCTACTTTTACTTTTCGTTACATCCCTCAAAACGCACCCCGTTGCACTTGATCTAACTTTGGTGGTTTCTTGCGAAAAGGAAAATAGTTTATTTCGTTGTAGAAATCATGTTTCTACAGAACGGAATACCATAGAGCAATTATAAAGGGAAAAT